AGGCCCGAAACGTCAGCCTTCCTGCCCCTATGATGCTGCTTGGCCTGCCGTGTTCATCCAGCTCTACACCTTGTTATCTCAGATTCTTCAGCATCTGCAGTCCCTACTATCTCTGATACAACATTAGCAGGGCTTTTCTGTTTGGGGGAGCTATATTGGAGAAGGTGTCCTTTGGCTGCAGTCATTGTGGTATGGAGACAATGCAGAGTCAGAGATCTTAAAGAATGCATTGAAGCACTGGTTACCTCATTGGTTACAAAGAGGACCCCACCCTACCCTATCCCTGGCCATGTTTCAGGCATTAAGGAGGCCACATATTATTTCCAGTTGGCGTCAGAGATGGGCCTCAGGAAGCTGCTTAATTATTAGGGCCACCAACTTTAGCTTACTGAGAGAAGGGTTTGTTGTAGCGCATATGGAATCCTTTCCAGAGGATACAGGACAAGTCCCACTAAGGACATAATGGCCATGTGCATACTGTGTGATGGATATAGTCCTACCATATGAGTTTGTTTTTGAGAAGAGTGCTCTAACTGATATTCTCATACTCTTGGACTTCTTTTCACATGACCTTCTACATTGCAAGCACTCTGCTAGTTAACCAGCCTCCTTCCCCTCTCCAATATGTCTAGAATGAAAAAGTGAACATGGTCGATGAATAAATGTAGATATTTTGTTTTGATGTCTACCTTTCTCCAGTGCTGCTTTGTAGCAGTGTCCAGGCAATTTGTTTTAATTCCTAGAGGGTTGGCAACCATATAATTACCTTTCCTGACTACCTGCCCTGGCAGACAACTAACCATCCACCCCGTCTTTACAAAAATAACTCTGGGGTGGAAACACGTTGGCAAACCAATGTACCAGATAGCAGAGGTAATTCTAGATCTGCTTGTATCTGCTCCTGTCTGTAAAAATCTGGCCCAAGCCATAGGTTTCCTCTCTGATTGTAGCAGGTGTGTAAAAGTGAGAGCATCAGGACTGAGGAAATGTGATAGCATCATGTCTGAAGTACAAGGGAAGATTCGACACTGCGAAAGCAGATTGATGGCTGCATATCCATATAGATCAGCATATATAGGCTGATCATTCAGCTTTCACCTTTAGATTAGCAGCAGTGGGATTAGTTTGTATTTAGTACTGTTGGTGCTACCATATGTTATCCTGGTTTCCATTTCTTTGGACATGGTGATTGATGACACTTTGTTTACGCTGTGCAACTACAATGGAAAAATTAAATTATTTTTATTTCACAGTATTTAGGCTATTTCTGCACTTGAGTGGTTGTTAAAGGAATAATAAAATCTTCGACCTAAAGTACTGAAACAGCCTTCACAGTTTTCATCCAATTTAGAACCCTTCGATAAAATTATAATCTGTATAACAACTGTGTCCATCAATTGAATGTAAATTGTTCTATTTGGTTTTAGAATATCAACCATTGAAAGATTGGACTTTGAGGTAATTTAGTGCCACCAACTGAGCCTTAACAAGAAGAGGCTCTTATCTGAAACAATATTTACTTAGGTACTTACGTATAAGTAGCACTAGTGAAATAGATCTTGTTACTAAGACTACAAGGAGCGCCATCAATATAGGTTATCACTTCATGAAACACTAAGATATTCTCCTTATCCCTATACAAGGTGCATGACGTAATCATATTTGGCAGAGCTATATTTAGGCTCCAACATTAACTC